AGATGAACGCAAAAAGCTGCAAAATTATAACGAGGCGGTTTCTCGTCAGGAGTGGCGGGGAAGATTCGGCTTTCGGGGTGAGGAACTCGGGGTACGTGACGATGGGAGCGCGGTCACGGTTTGACAGTACGGATTCCGGGGGTGAATGAATAGGAGAGGATGTAGAGGGCTCGTCGGCCTAGCAGAAATCGCGCGGTTAGTCAACAGGTACGAAGATTGGTAGCATTGAGGATACTCACGGCTGAAGCGAGTGGCTGTGAGAATTCTACTTCCCCAAGGAGCTCTTTTATGTCGGCCTCATCTATGCCCTTGCCCCGGAGAAAGGCGATCTTGCTCTCTCTGGGAGAAGTCTTGATTTTCTCATCCTCCAAGAATCGGCGCGCAACCTTTATTCTGTCCTCGTCGGTGGTTGTGGTGCTATCCTCGTTGGTGGTCTTGGAGCCGCCCTCCGTATCTTCTTGGGAACGCTGCCATTCTGGAATGCCAGAATCTGGCTTCTCCTCCTCTTCCGTCATGATCTGTGTGTTCAGCCCAGCTATCAGCAGGCTACCTGATGGAGTTGATATAACGCGCCGTGACGAGGGGAGCAAATTAGCAGGATGGTGTGGATGGAAGAGACGAGATTGATCGCGACTCCCAAGCATTCATCACGGCTCATATGCCGAGGCTCGGACATGCACCCACGGGCAATTTGTCTGGGGCGCGATGGCTGACCGTCCAATACGCCACCGCTTAGTCATTCAGCTAGCGTATTAAACGGTGTGTATCTGCCGAAAGTGTGGGCCGGAAGGCGAGACGGAGCCACGGTCTGTCTGTCGCGCGCCAGAGCTCGTCCCATGGTCGAGATTCGAAAACCTACTCGAATCGGAAAACAAGGAGTCGGATCTAGGTCTGGGGCGCTCGTCATTGCTACCCTTTGTAACTCCTTCCGCAGTGAGACAGCCACACCGCTCATCGACCAACCACTCTACGGAGCCCATTCATTCGTGGCTGAAGGCTAGGCGGATCTCTCAGCAAGCCCAGTGCTAGGCCCTGCATTTCAGCGTTTCACTCAAGGGAGCAGGCGCTGATCTGTGAAGAGCATAATCGAGTCCTCAACCAGGCCTGAGGTTTCTTGGCACAACAGCTTGTGGCTGATTTGCACCGACCTCGGACTGGCGCGAGTGGGATTCATTGGTGTTTGCGTTCTAGTCCGCCAACCTGCAGTCGTAGAGCCCCTGCCTCGGTCTGTTACTGGTTTCGAAGGGAGCGTGTTATTAGGTACTATCAAACGGGTTCAGTTTGTGGATTGTGACGCCGGCTTTATCTCACAAGCTTTCATTGAGTTCCAGCTGGTTAGTGTACCGGGAAAGGAGAAGGCCCATCGTTGTTAAGGACGAGGTCATCCTGTAAGTTGCTGTTTCCTTCCTCTTGCTGTTGCTATTTTCCAGCCTCTTCTGTTTTCATTTTTGTTTCCTGTTATGTTTCCCCATTCATTCAATTCTTTTTGTAAGAAAAAGGACATTTCCAATTTCCTAGCTCTCCTCTCGTTGTTTGCAAACATCAATGGCAGAAAGGAGAGAGATAGGTTGCAGAGGCGGGAGAAACGAAGAGGAAAATCATTCACGATGAAGTTGAGCGCGGCATCAAGTATTCAGCTGGAACCGGGCGATGGCGAGAGATCAATTGGCATCGGCATTGGCTGCGCACGATAAGAGGCGTTTGAGTCTATGCCAATGCATCGTTGCATCCCAAAAATCCCATTCGCTCCCCTGCGACCGTGGCCAGGGCAAGGCATGGCGATCCAAGGATGACATCAGTCGGCCAGTGCAACCGCAGGCCCTGCGAGTCTGTGCGGGCTGGGACAAGTGTCTATCTGTCCATGCAAAGCTGCTACTTGCCTCTGGTCCGCCCGCGCTGATGCTCGGTGCGACACGTGTGTGGTCGCTTCCTGGTTCGGCTTGGCCTTGGTGCTTGGTGTGAGGGAGACGGACGACACAAGACAAGAGACGCAAAACACCATCTGATTGGACATCAACGCCGTTCTGTGCCACTCTTTTGGTTTCTGGCAGCAAGCGCTGTGCGTCTGTCACAGGCAGACATCTCCATCAGCCGCGCTTCTACATCGGAACAAGACCATCCCCAACACCTAACCTCCTCCTCTCTCTCTCATACCACCGCCAATCAACCTCTCCCTCTACCAGCCCTTGCACCAACCAGCTGCACCCCCTGGCACTGCAACGCACACGCAGCAACTCCCCAACCCTGCTCAACGTCGTCCTCTCCATTTTCGCACTCTGCTCGCTCCATCCCAATTACACGAGGCAGGTCGCTGGTGCTGAGTCTACGTCTTCTGTTGGCTTGGACTATCTGCGGCTCACCCCCTCTAAAGGCTTATTGCGACGGGCCGTTTCAGCTAAGGTGTTGATTGGGCCATTAGTCTGAGTAAACCACTTGCAGCAACGCCATCGCCCCTTGAACAGATTGCCAACATTCCCGTTTGCCTGAATTTTTTTATCTCCTCTATCAATTTGCAACTATCCTCCAGCCCACACTCTGTGTCTCAGAGTCAATAAGAAGGCACAACTGCCACATTTCATCAACAGGGCTTAGAAAGCACAAGCGTGCAGGCATCAGCGCCAACTCCAGGCCACTCTATTTCGCACTACGTAGCAATATCATGTCTCTACGTCCACGCCGCTCGGCTGCGGCAAAGGCCAAGGAGGTCATTTCTGTACATGCCAGGTGGGCTGACTCAGATACACCAGGCGATAGCAATTCGGCCATGTCATCGCGCCGCTCCCATCGGGTCTCCCGTGATGGCCCCGCGTCGCCAGGTGATTTAAGCCTGACTGTCAAGGTGCCCTCTTCAAGAGCTCGCCAATCGACGCGGGGCGGGTCTCGCCGCTCGGATCCATTTGAAGGAGGAGAAATCATCCATGGGAAACGTGATCGCGGAGGCAAAAAGAGCTACGTGGTCGATTCAAGCCCGGATGACGAGGATGACGAGGATGATGAAATGGAAGAACCCGAAGATGAGGATGCTGAGGGGGAGGAGGACATGGATGTCGACGCAGAGGGGGAAGATGCCGAGGGCGACGTGGACATGGACGTTGCGCCACCTTCTGCAGGCTCAACAATTAAGATCGCCCGCCCAAGCTCCAAACCGTCCGCTCGGGCCATTGTGCCCGACGATGATGAGGATGATGAAGAAGAGGAAGAGGACGAAGAAGATGTTGATGACGACGATGACGATGGCGACCTGAGCGATCCAGCAGATAGTGATGCTGCCGAACAGACGCTTGGGCTCGGGGACGAGACAATGGCCGACGAGGATGCTGAAGGCGAAGAGATCGATGAAGAAGGCGTCACGCAGATTGACGGACAAGACCAAGGCCTTGATAGCGACGACGATGACGGCAGCCAAGACGGTGAGCTAGACCTCGCTAAGATGACCAAGCGTCAACGTGCGCGCTTCGAGGATGGGCCGCAAGAATTTATGAAGCTATCTGATGGTGAGCTGATACCATTCCCTTTCATCCCGTCCTGGGGCCGTATACCAACTAACTGAATTTCCCTACAGAGGTGCAAGCGAAGAAGGTATTCACTGCTGAGGAGCTATCCATGCGGCGGCAAGAAATGGCTCGGCGCCGGAGGAATTTAAGCGAAAAGAGGAACGAAGAAGTAAAGGTACGTGCTTCTATTGCATTTAAATCTCTCTAAAAAATCCCGCCGATTTGAACTTGAACCTAATTGGCATCCCCGGATCGCAGATGGAAACTATCAACAAGCTCCTGAAGAAGCAAGCACCAAAGGTCAACAAGAAGGCTGCTGCTGCTGCTGCTGCCGCCGCCGCTGCAGGTGGTGAGGCCACACCCCAAGATAGCGGCCCAAAGGCTAGTCCCGTATTCGTTCGCTGGGTCAGTTCAAAGAACGGTACGCGCGTCTCTGTGCCTACCGAGATGTTGGAAGGACCCGTTGGGAAGGTCTTCCAAACAGAAAAAGACGCGGTACGGGCGAAGAGAATGGTGGAGGAAGTAGCGTAAAGTAGAGGTGGTTTTCTCGTTCTTCAGGTTTGGGGATCACCCACTGGTATTTCTAGATGTCTGATACTGGCGCTAGGGCAGGTCAGTAGCAAATTGTATTTTCATTGGTTGGTCTCTGTCCACTTCAGTCCCTTTCACGTATACGTTGGGCGTTGCTGTTTAACAAAAAGAATAATATTAAAAGCACATCATTGCTACAAACACTGGACATTTATTTGCATTCGCGTAGATCCGTCTGTGGTACTTGATAAAACCTTAGATAGACCTATGTGCATGTCTACGGAGGTTGGCAGATGCGAGCACAGCTTGGGGGCGGCGGCGCTGGCGAGCGTCAACAACGAAGAAGAGAAGGCGACGACGATGGCCAGAAACTTCGTCGACTACTGCACCTTATGACGCAATTTTCTACCAGAAGAGAGTTGGGCAGTCCAAGGTGGTTGGGGGGTTGGGAAAACGAGTTCTCACTTTGTCCTCAGGTAAGTAAATTCTGAGTTGCGCCTTGGGTCGGTGTTGAACGACGAAGCGATATCCTCTACTCCAAACACAAATTGATCCATCTAAATTCCGCTACATCAGGGCAGATTAATGGGATCTTGCATTCTAATGAAGCTGTAAGCATGTAACATAGTGTCTTGTTTTACTCGGGCTTGGATGAAATGTAATGTCGCCAATTTACGGCTCCAAAATCCGCCCGGCATCAACAAAACCCCCATCTCACCACGTTCTCAGATCGAAGAGCGACAGACGCCCAGCCCCCCTACATAGATGCAAGTAACGGGTGTCTCCCATGCCTAGAGCAGCCACAGGAGCACGTATCTGAGAAAAACCAAGACTCCTTCCGTCCTTCTCCCTCATCTCTTCTTCCTTTCTTCCTCCATCATCAATCCTAACCATCCAACTTCAATCGCAAACTCCAAAATCAAACCCTACAATTTGGCAAGATCTGCCACCTGAAAGCAACTCAAAGTCGTCATCATGTTTCGACAGATGAACGACGACGCGGAGATGACTACAGAATCCGCATCGTTCTCAGCCGAGTTCTTTGGCCCCGATGTCCTGGAGACCTATGAATGGCCTGTCCTTGACACAACAATAGACTCGTCTTCTCCTGTTGATCTCAGCCCGGTAAGCTATATTCCAAATGAATTGCAGTTTCTACGGTACAGATGCTAACCACTCGTGTGCCTGCAAAGCTCGAGGACTGGATCGCTCAAGAGAACGCAAATAGTCTTTTAGGCACCGCTGAAAACCTGTCCGCTTGTGAGCCCGCAGTTTCTCAAGACTCAATGGAGGCTCATGATCAAGATGCCGCATGTCACTCCGAGGTTACCATCACTCAGGAGGACATCAATTATCTTTTCGACGTCGCTTGTGAGACCGCAGTTTCTCAAGATCTGGCAGATGACCATGACCAAGTTGCTTCAAGCCACTCTCAAGTCCTCACACAACAGGGCACGGAAGAGATTGGCGCTGTTGTTGGCGGCACTGAGCTCGAGTCCGCCTTTGATCTTGCCTTTTCTCAATATGCGGCAGTAGGACATGATTCGGTTCCTTCAAGCCACTCACCAGTCCTCACCCAAGAGCACATGGATGACATTGACAGCCTTTTCGGAGGTCCTGAGCCCGAGTCTCAAGATCCAGCGGAAGCTGCCAGTGCGGTTTCTTCATCCACCGCTCAAAGTGAGAAAGCTGGCACTGAAAATGGTATCACTGCTCCCTCCAAAGAAAAGCCTGCTTTTCCGCTCGCTCTTCCTCAGGCCCAGCCATCTCCTGCGTCTGCTTCAGCCACTACTCAAAGTGCGAAAGCGTATTCGTCCAACAAGGACAAGTCTCACAGGCTCGTTCTGCCTCAGCCTGCTCCAGCTTCTTCAAGCACCCCGCAGAATGGGAACATTGCAACTGCACCATCCAAGAGTCAAGCTAAGCCTGCTGTTATTCTTGCGCTGCCTAAACCCCGTGCGGATTCTTCAAATACCACGCAGAATGTGAGCACCGCAAGCGCATCATCCAAGAACAACGCCAAGTCGCAGCCCCAGCCATCTCCTGCAGTTCCTTCGTCTACCACTCAGAAGCGAAAGGCTGCACCCAAGAAGAAAGCTACGCCTGCTGCCACTCGGGCTCTCCTTCAAGCGCAGCCGGAAGCGCAGGTGCAGCCTTCTGTCCAGATTGACTTGACTTCCTCTGATACTCACCAGACTGGCAATGGGACAGCAGTTATCAACGCCCAGACAGGCAGCTTCCAAGCTGTTATGCCTCAAATGTCTCCAGCTGCTGGTATGAGTAATGCTTCTGGATCTGTCCCTCAGAGCTTTAGCAATGGACACTCCCCCACAGGCTGTGACACATCACCCCAGTTCTGCGAAGACGAGGAGATGGAGAACAACGCAACGGTGGCTAACCCACATGCCTCCAACCCTGGGCCTGTCAATACATCTGTCCCTCGTGTCTCTGGTCTCCCAGCACAGGCTTTTGTTGGTTCTTCCAACTCCTCTCTCCCAGGACAAGTTCCTGTTGGCTCTTCTGCCAGTTCGGCCCAGATGCCACAATTCGCAAACGGTGTTGGTTATCCCTTCATGATGCCAGGACAGTTCCCAGGACAATTCCCGATCATGGGTATGGGACCCGGTCAGCAGCCCAACTACATGGGCATGCCTTATCCAGCTCACCTTGCCAACAACTTCATGGCTGGTCAATTCAATATGAATCCTGCTACCACTGGTGGAGCTTTTTCAGGCTTCCAAGCCCCCATGGCTTACCCAAACAACGGAGTACCATCTATGGCACCTCAGCAAGGTTTTCAGCCTGTTCAGAACGGTCAGACTTCTGCCAACGCTACAGCCTTCCAAGGCGTGCCTCCCAGCACCACCTTGCCCGCTGAGACTGAAAGCACCGAGGCCAGCAATGCCAAGGCTACCAAGACAACCAAGGCCACCAAGGCAGCTCCAGCAAAGGCCCAGAAAGTCCAAGCTCCAAAGCCGCGAAAGACTCCAGCAAAGAAGGCTGCAGCTGTCCAAAACGTTCCTGTCATGACTCAGGAAGCAACATCAACATCATCAGCAGGGATGGCTGCATGGAAATCCCAGCTTCCTCCCCCCAACCCTTGGCAGCCACTCAGTCCTGATCAGATTATGATGATCACTGGCATCCATCCCCTCCACCTACCCGCAGACACGGAATTCGTTTCCAAGCTGCCCGAGGTTCCCGGGAGCGCTGTCAAGCACAATGACATGTCAAATCTGACCGCTCAAGAGCGTGAGCTTGTCATTCACACTGCTACGCGTAACATCTTCTACGCCGGAGTTGAAGCAGGAGTCGAGCGCGCGATCCAACAAATGGTCAACGACATGGATTCAAATGGCCAAGCGCTTGGCCTTGCCCCTGCCGACCTTCCTCCCCAAGGAGCCTTCCGCACAAAGTTCCTTGACACACTCGAGACCAAGATGAAGAAAGCCGCCAAGAAATGGGCTGCCCTCACACATGAGGAGGCCGATCATCTGATCAAACCGGTTCAGGTCCTCTAGGAGCGGAAATTTACCGGTATCTTCGTCCCCAAGGACCAAGAGTCTCTCTCTCAGCGAAAGAGGCACTGTCTCTCCCTGGAAGAATAAATGCCAACCCACCATACATCAGGCTGGGCTACCACCATTGGGAACCCAGTCACAATCAAGTGCGACAGATCACTGCTCGTTTATGTTTTGTTCATAATAACACCGTCTTTACAGTAAGACTCATCTCCTCCCCCCGGCTGCGCGCTTTTCTAACTTGACATTCTCCCTTCAGGGCTCTGCAGAAGTAATGTGTGTTTTTCACAGAGACTTCGATGCTCTCTGCGTGAAGAAGTATCGTAATTTTTTCGATTGATCGACCACTTTAACGATAGTCCGAGCTCTATCTTTTTTCAATATCTTTTTCAGATTAAGCCGGGGGGGGGGAGTCATTCTTTACAGTTCACAGATCTATCCTTGATTAGCGATTTTTGAGTCACATCGGAGAGGAAGCATTGACCTAGAGTAGAGCTATATCTTGTGATCTCAGAGCCACTCATTCTGTCCGCATATTCAGAGTCACTCTTTTTTTCAGTATTCACCACTTGAGATCTTTTAGAGTTTTTTTTTGGCGCAGGGATGCGGGGAGATAGAGAGGACCTTTGGCCACTTGGTCAAGTCAACCAGATCGGCACTTTATGAGCAAGTCAAAGTCTACGACTTTGAGTTGGAGGAAGAGGACCCAAAATTAGATTCAATGCAATTTCATTCACCGAATTGGTTCCCATTGTGTTTTTGATCAGCATGTCTCGCGTTCATGCTCGCAGGGCTCGTTTTAAAACGGTATCATCCATCGAATTGAACATCAACAGAGGCGCAAACAACCCTGTATCAATCTGAGGTCGCATAGACGAAAATCAATTTTAGCGATAGAGACGATCAATGAGCAGATATGAATAGCAGAAAGGAAACACCGCTCGCCAGGTAGTACGTTTCTCAAATCTTGTGATGGTGTCACGTGGTTTCATCGTAGAGTTGCCAAGTTGAAAAGGAAGGCGCAGATGATAAATGACCATGGCAAGTGGGTAAAACAAATCGTGGCATATCAAAGCTCTTTCCGCGTAAAGCAGGGACTTCGGGTTTAAACTAAATATAATAATAATAAAATAATAAACTATTGTAGCTTGATATTATATTCAGTACTAGTTATTTTGTGGGATATTGTGTTGGAATCCAATGCTGAATTATTTCGATGTACCACCTTTCAACGCCTCTCCGAGACTGTACCAGCAAGATTGTTACCTGTTGGGTGAGCTTCAACACGAACCAACCAGACATAGTCAAATTCAAATACAACCAACAACAGGAGCGTACAAACCTATGAAACTCCAGTCTCTCTCCCGCAGAAGCTACTGATTGGAGGAAGAATGGCCAATGAGCCAGGAGAGCGGATGTGTAGGGTAGGCCACAACCTTGGCGGCAAGCCCCTGCTACGTGTGTCCTGGTTGTCTCGTCCAGGTTTGTTTCGTGACGACCAGGTTATTTGTCCAGGGCTGTCGCAACCATCTCATTACGCAATCTTCACTCTCAACATCTCCTGGCTCATGGCCACCAGCTTTCCCATATCCTGACGCCGCAACTCCGCGACTGAATGCGCAACCGGCCGCCATGGCGCATTACGACGGTCGAACCGCCCCCGCCTACGTCCCGAGCTCGTATCCTCCTCCGGGTGCCTACCAGCCCGCCGTATATTACCAGCCGCAGTACTCGCCCCCTCGACCTCGCCGGCAGCACTTCTTCCTCGTCTCCATCGTGCGGCCCTGGGCCATTGTGGTGTCGCTCATAATAGTCGTCATGAATATTTGGTGGTTCTCCACGGGCAGGATCTGTGGTTACTCGGCGTCTATCACGGACAAGTGCTATTGGGTCCTGTGGAATAGCCTGCCTCTTGTAAAGAAGCTTCCAGCCCCCAACCCCAATCTTCATTTTCCTTTTCTCTCTATGCTCCGCCCTACATGCCCCATTAATCGTTCTGTACCTATGTTAGAGGAGCTGACTTTATTTGGATGTCGTTGTGCAGGCCATTGCGTCTGTGGCATGGAATATCGCGACTACACTCTCCCACCGTCGTGTTATGAGCTTTCGATCCGGCATTCCTCTGCACACCCAACTGCCCATCCAGTTCTTCCTGGCAGCAGGAGCTGCTGTCAGTCTCGGCCTCCTGAGTTGGTCTTTTACTCAACCATCTAAAGATGTGTGGTCGTGGAACATGGCTTCTCACGGGGGCATGATCGCTCTGGTCGCTATTGTTACGTGGGTACCACCGAGATTGATTTTCCGACGCTGGGATGGCTGCTAACACATCAGATTCCCCCTCTTTCCAGGCTGGTCAACTGGTTACTAGTTGGGTTTATCGCTTACGAGGGGTGGCTTGATTCGAGACACCAGGAACAGACCGAGTCTTATGCGCTATGACATAACAATGCTCCATTTGTATTGCCATTTTGAGTAGGTTTCTGTCCCCGAAGTTCATATTCGTACATACAGTCGGACCAGACGGCACTCCCAAGCAACCACTGGTTGTTGCTTTGTAAAAACACATTTTATGGTCATAGAACCCAAAGCCTCTAGACCTCCCAAGATTCCAGACCTCCTCCAGACCAACTCCAATACTCCACCTCCCCCTACCAAAAAACAAGAATAAAGAAAAAGAATAGCCTCGCAGTTCAAATTGATAGACCTCCAACGATTCAAGACTCATACTTCCGTATCTTCCCTAACAGATAACATGTTTCCCGTGAAGCCACCGTGTGCAGCGAAGCGGAGTTGGTAATCACGAAGATCAGACCAGTGGTTCAACTCCTCTTCTTCATCCTGTGGCGTCATTTGCAATGGCTCTGCAGATCTATTGGTGACGGGGCCTGTCCTTTCTAGCTTGATGAGCACGCCAATGAGTTGTGACAGGGCCTCTTCAGATTTGATTGCAAATGGACCCTTGCGTTCTGGCGCGTCATTGAGAAGCGTTGACGCAACCTGGCGAATCTTGTTAATGATCGAGCCTCCATTAGGCTCAAGATTGCGTTGAGAAATCGAGCCCAAAACAGTCAGCAGGTCTTGCACGATCAATTCTCGTTCGGTTGACATCAGTTCAAAGATCTGTTTATCCTCATTTTCTTCCGCCTCCTTCTCCTCCTGAGTCTGAGGCGTTACAGTATTTTGGTGATCAGCGAGGTGTACATCACGCAGGTCAAAATAAAGCTCAACAAAATATGACCGGGTTGCTAGCTCGGACACGAAAATGTTGGCTTTCTGAATCTCATACTGCAATTGACGGCGTCGGTGCGGTTGAGTTTTGAATGCAATTCTTATGTCGTGAGGAGGCTGAGCATTGGGCCACAGAGGTGGTACATACTGTACTGTCGAGTCCTCGAAGGCCTCCATTGGATCAACTTCGCCGGGTGCGCCCAGTTGAAGTTCGGGCGGCAAATTGCCAATAATGCTCTTCACAGCAAGAAGGCCCTCTCGCAGAAGCATTCTTTGGTCGGACCATGGTAAGGTGCTCATGCCATAAGCTAGCTCGAGACTAACCACCCCGTTCATTGTTGTGTAAATGTCAATCCCAAATCTGAACCCTGTGAGTAGTGAAACACTGCCCTCCGATTGGTCGTTAATCTGATTGGCAACAACATAGATGTCGTCAATGTTTTCTGGGTATGTAGGATATGGCAGACTTGGGGTGGATGGTGCTATGACCGTATCGGACTGTGATCCTCCAATTCCTCCAAGCTGAGAGAAAGAGCTATGTTTGAGTTAGAGCGTTGAACTTCTGAGTGGGGGGCGAAACTAGAGCATGCTCGACTTACCGAATGCCCAAGAGCAAGCACCAGAACAACCGTTTTCCAATTTGATCTTTGACATGATTGAATGGGAGGGGATCGGGCGAGTAGGGGTCATTTCCGAAGGTGGGAGGTTCGCCCGCAATCTTTGGTCGCGTGAACCCAAGCTCTCGAATCAACGTGAGGGTCTCGGACATGAAGTGGCGAGAAGCGTTGTGTTGATGCGTGTAGGCATATGATAAGCCAAGAAAGTAGCTCGTAGAAGCATCGTCGAGCGTCTTTGGTTGCTTCAATGGCCACTGACTGCCTCGCGCCTGAAGAGCAATTTCACAGCACCTCTCAATCATCACAATGGATTTAGGAAAGAGATGTGTACTATGTTGCGCTTTCAGATGTTCTCGCACACATCGAGGAAATGAGGCCACAAGCGCTGCAATCATGCTGGCAAGCAGACTGAGAAACTCAGGTCTTGTGCGATCTTCTCGATTGGCAAAGGATTGGCGGAACGTGGGTTCGTGTGGGAAGGGAGCGAGTGGGTGTATGAAAGTGAAGAAGTCATCGACGAGTAACTCTAGCACAGGCATAGGAGCGATGCTTTCAGCGTCCAACACACCCTCGTTCGAGAAAGTGAGCAACGTCTTTGCTACAGTGGAAGGCGCAGGAGACGATGGGAAGACCGGAGGCAACGGTTCGATCCGAGTTCGCTTTGCGGCTTTGGCAGCTTCGGCATGCTTATTTGGGGGGCCGCGTCGCTTCGTTTCGCGGTGGTACGTACAATCCACACCAAGATCCCGACAGGGTTTGCATGGGATATTGGTATCGTCGCATTTCACCTTGCGCATACTACACATGTCGCAGGCGCGTCGAAGTCGCGTGAGCTTGGGGTTAACAGTGGGATCGCGCATCATGGCAGCGCCATTTCCGACGAGGCCTGCGCCCTGGACAAGCTGGACGGAGGACAGGTCGGCACTGTGGTGTTGAGGATATGGGTTGACGGCCGAAGATGCGGCAGCGGCCACGGCGGCGGCGGCGGTGCTCACATTGGGTTGCGCAACGGATTCGGCAGTCGCATTTTGCAGCGCCTGTGTCTGCTGGGTGGTGAGAGCTTGCTGGGCGGCATCGCTAGCGGCTTGTAGCATCTCGAGGCCATTGCTGGCATAGGCGTGGACATTGGCATGTTGCTGCGAAGGCGACTGAGGT